TTATTTTTTGTTAGTCAATGTAATAATATGGCATGTGTGTAAAGAAGTCAAAGTTTTCAAGATCTGCTTTTAAATAGGTGAAAATATGTTTCATCAATAAGACCGGGCAATAGTTATTCTTGAATCTATAATATTGTCAACTATAAGTACTGTAGATAGCGAAGAGTAATATTCAAAATTTAAATAATCGTCCTGTAACTATAGTCAAAACTTTGAAAGATAAATATGTATGGACATATGGCATTACTTTATTTGGACACATATTTCTTTAGTAGATTTTTACAAAAATACCTTAGGTACAAATATTCATTTAAGTCATTTCACAGAACTAAACTTATAAATATAATTTGAATCAATTACATGCCAGTATTACACAATAGATCTAAAAGCAACGAAAAGTGTCCGGTCGCAAATTGAATGCATATTGAACTGACCCCTAAACTGGTAGACTGACTCAGTCATTGTTCCCTATTCTTCTACCGGTTGTTTAATTCTAATGCAATCAGCATATTGCAATCGCGACAAATGGTTGTACAGAGAATCGAAGGACACTTTAGAAAACTGGAATAAACTTTCTATAGCATGCTGCCGCAACTTTTCAGAAACAATTTTTTTTTCATCTTTTACACGAATTTTAAACAACAGGAAAAGAGGTTAATTTATGGTTTTTTAGAAAATTGACGGCTAAATTAACAATATTCACGAAATGACTAATGTTAAGCATGACTTTTACAGTTCGATATACACAGAAGAACTCTGAGAAGTTTCATCTCGATCTAGAGAACCGTTTATTTGTTTCAAATAATCAAACTTTTGAAAAAAATTAAAGGGTCACGTTTTTTGAGCTTAAATAATTCATAATCATGATTAAAATAGGCTTTAGAAAAGAGGAATTAATAAATATTACTACAAGATATAGAAGACAAAACTCTTGAAGTAAGATACATCCGTCATTGTCGAAAATACTCTGCTTTGATACTAGAACTAGTTTTACTAAAAACTGTATATTTTTCATTAGATTTGCTAATGGAAATGTCTCAATAATTAGTTAATTTTAATAAAATTAAAAAGCTGTTAAACAGCTAATAAATAACACTCTTTTGCGAGGATTTTAGCTGATTTTATGGCAGAAAATTTTATAATAATTGAACTTTCCAAACACATTGTGGATGTGCGAGATATGGGAAATATTTACTCAAATAGCAGTGGCGACTCCACGTTAACATTTGACGCAAGGAAGATTTTATTCAGAAACCAAAAGACATGAGGATGATGAGTCTACTTCAGTGACGGAAAATTCATTGAAGGGGATGGGGAATAATTTTCAAATGGAACATGTTCGAAAGAAGTTGAAGCTTCTAATTCAGTTACTCCATCAGCATCGATAATTGATAGTCCATCGAAAATAATTCTAAATTGTAGAGTGTATTCAATTGAAAATAATAAATTTCTTAAAAAATTAGTCACATTACTGAAGAAATTTATCCGATCCGAGAATTAATGGTAACGCGAATATGAAAAAGGAAGAAGAAAGATACTCTTTTTCGTTCTAGTCAACTGAAGCGTTTTTTAAACTTACAAAACAGTACTAAAATGTCAAGATGTCATGACAGTTTCCAAAAAAATTATACGGTCTTCATTAACGGTGGATTATTCTTCATTGGTTGTTATCTAGATTTGTGGTGGTGAATTTCGCCCAAAAACATCGAGGATAAAAAATTTTAATCATCACTCACCAACACAAGGGCACGTAATCCGGCGTTTTCAGTCCATCATCTAAATCAAACATTTTCAGAAGCAGGCAACACATTGCGAGTAATATATTTTCATTAAGCCCGATTAAATTAAATGCGAAAGGGCTACCTACAGAGCACTCTTATGTTAATAAAAAGCGAGCAACAAAAATTCCTATTATTAAAGTGTCCGAACGCATTAGCGAGCGGCCCCCTCATATTTCAGCATATCAGCATTAACAGGCGGACCTTCGTCATGCAATGACTCTGTCACCGCGGAGAATTTTTATTCAAATATGCTTCAGGAAGGTGTTACATTGACCTTTCTGGCCCAGTAATCAATCACATGTGTCAGAACGACTCACTTACTGATGTTGTTTGGAATAGAGGGGTGGCGGGGGTAATATTATATTTTATAATAATTGAACTTTCCAAACACATAGTGGATGTGCGAGATATGGGAAATATTTACTCAAATAGCAGTGCTGTGGCGACACCACGTCAACATTTGAGACGCAATGACGATTTTATTCAGACCAGCATGCTCGCGAGGTCAGTGCAGTCGGCTGTTGGAGTATAAAGACTAACTTGCTATTCTTATCGTAACTGAAAATTTGAAGGAGGAAACGATTTATTTAATTTTGATAAACTTTTCGTTTAAAATCTGATTGATACCTACATGTTTCTACTATTAATAGTAGATAACAAAGTTCTTACGCCCTTTTTCATCAATTTTAACAATATTTCTAACATTTTTCGAAGATAGAACTACCCCAGCTGAATGTTAGAGCTTCATATTCAAAATGGCGTCCAAAATTCGCAAAAAACAATTTTTTCCATAAAAAAACATTTTAGAAAATAATATTTTTGACAAATGTTGTAGAACTTTTTATAAGAAAAATTTCGAGCCCAGCCCGAGGTCAATAAACAAATATATTAGTTATTGCAAAAAAAGGATAAAAATCGTATTTTTTTAAAACTTCTATATCTTTAAAACGAAAAAAGATTTCTTTACGAAACGCTCAGAATATGTTGTCCTTGGCAAGTAAAATAAGTGTAATTTTGTAAAATTGCAAAATATTTGATGGTTTTTGCAAAAATTCAATTTTTTTCAAGTTTCAATAAATCACACAGTAATGAACTTACGTGACCCATCTTGGGCTTAAAACTTTCTCTAAGAATTGTACTTTACTGTGCAAATTGTGCGCGTGTTGCAAAACAATTGAAAATATGCGAAAAATTTACCGAAACTATGACTTCTTCTTTCGGATCGAAAAATGTAGATCTTATTCTTATCGTTGAAATTTAATTGGAATGGCATTATTACCATTTGCAAGCAGACGTTTTTTCACGAATTTTAAAAACATGTTGTCCTACGAAAAACAGGAGCCGATTTTTTTTTTCTTCAAAAACTCGCTACGACCTCGTTTATTAATATTAAGGTCTGAAATTTACACATGTTGTAGTTGAATACTTTCACTTTAATATAAAAAATAGTCGGCAATGACTGACCCCTTTTTTAAGTAAAATTAATTTTGTTGGGCGCCGTAAGATGCTTGCTTCGCTCGACACGTTGATGCCCGTGGTGGGGGGAGAAAGACTGTGACTCAGTTAGTGCTCCGCATGTTATGTAAAAAGTATACGTTTGCTGAAACTGTTGCAACATTTACAGTAATCATGACCTTTCTATTAAAGTTAAAAATTTTAAACAATGACAGTCGAAGAGGTAATTACCACATTGATCATGCTTGAGAATTGCTCCATTACGTCACGCTCCCGAGATATCCTAACCTAAAAGTTTTTTACTATATTTGATCTTACGATACATCGCGAACATTTTTTCTGAAAACGAGCCATAACATCTAAAATTAGAACTCTTACCCTTCCAAACGCCGTTTTCAAATTTGAAAAACAATTTTTTTTCTCGGAGATATCATTAAATGAAGTTTAGTACTTCAGCGATTTCATAACAGCAGTATCAAAATTGAAAAATGTTCTTCGGATAGCGGATGACATACATTCCTATGTTTTTTTAATAATCGCCAAATCCGAATCCAACCTAAAAATTATTCAAGCACTCAAGGGTTCTGAAATTTCCTAACCTAAATGTGCAAAATTTACTATTTACATGTGAACTGTCGGCATGAACCGCTATATGCTGTAACCTGCATACAATATATGTTTAAAATTAGTAAAAATAATTTAAAAGTGCATTTGTTACAAAAACAACAACAAAGATTGTCGCCTTTTCTCCGTGAAATAATCCCCCATACGCTACTTACAAAACAACAACAAAGATTGTCGTCTTTTCTCCGTGAAATAATCCCCCATACGCTACTTACAAATACAGGGTTGCACCCTGTATTCCTAACCCCTGTATCAGCAAGTACGTATGGCGTTGCTTAAAAATTTATCTATGCATCGATCCGAAACTTGCACTACAAATGTCGTACTGTAATAAATCACCAAAACCTGGGCCAAAATTTTCCTGGCTTCCGGTATTGCTATGTTTGTACGGCAGTAGGTCGAGGTTCATTTTTTTTTGTATAACCTATATATTTTAGAAATGCTGTACAAGAATGTTTTGCCGAAAACCACCCCCATTGGTGGACAGGTTTAGCTTAGCTGTGCCCTCACCTGTACCAACAAGAATTGACGGCGTAGTTTCTAAAGTTATTGTTAAATGTGGTAGTATTAATTTATAAGTAATTCATGCTGGGTCAAATGACCCTTTGAAAATTTCCGATGGGCTTGTAGTCTATCAGCAAATAAAATAATGGATTAAAATGCTTTTTGTTTTCTTTATGAGAAACAAAATAAACGATGTTACACTTATTTCTTTCAAGATTTAGAAAAAATTAAATATGAGTTGGAGAATCGTGGAATTACACTCATACTGACCTCAAAAACCAATTTATTAAATTGTGTACACGATGTCAACATTACATAATCTTTCAGCGAATACTTATTTCTCTCGAGATTTGGGAGAATTTAAGTATGAGCTGAGGATTCATGTGGTTATGCTGGGATTGACCTCAAACAGATGCCGTCAAAAACCCACTTTATTTAATTGTGTGGGTGCACGATGTCGATATTAATCTTCCAACGAATAAACAATTCACCTAATCCGCCGTAATACCACGTACGCGATAGATCCGACACTAGCAACACGTTGAACATTTTTATCCCGATAAACAGGATGGGGCTTCGTCGATCCACGGACGACCGGGGCTAATCTATCATGACTGTCAGTGAATAGGTACTTACAATATATTTCGATGGACGTGGTGGCCGACACCGGTTGACTGATGTTGTTGTTCGAGGCTTGGCATGTAAAAGCTGCATGTTGATCGGACCTCTGCAACCCTTTAATGATTAGCTGGCTGGATCGAACGTTCTGAAAGCCGCTGCGAGTTTCGGTGGATTCTATCAGCTTCCCTTCCCTCCACCACTTTATTGTAGGCTCCGGTTTACCTAGAACAAAAGAAGGGCCTTAGATGATGGCTATAAGGGGACGCATTAATCTAACTTCTTTCCCTAGAATTTTCTTAGTGCGATTGCTTTCATTTCGTCCATTTGACCTATAATTAGATCCTCACTTGAATGCTTATCATCGATTACATTACATTGTAAAAAAATCAGCGTGAGAGAAAGCAATAAAGGTACGAAGTGAACCCATTGAGTGAAATTACTGAGTACATTTTCACTCGACATTGAGCATTTTGATAATATTTGAACTAAAACTAAGTACTTTCACTCAAATATAGGAACCCTTTAAATTAATTCTGCACATAAGTTCGTATTTAGTACACTTGTAGCTAAATCGGAGTAAATGTCCTCATTATTGAGTGACCCCACCCTATTCTATAGTTGTCGTGCGTTGTCTTTGTCTATTTCCATCGACACACATTAGATCATCTCAATTTACTAGTCGGTATAAAGACAAATTATTTAATATTGTTTAATAAGTTAATGCGTGCCAATATAACAATAATTTAAAATTTATTTCCTATTCTTAAGAAACTAAATTTCTTATCAGAAGAACGGTCTGCCATTCAACTGAGATTTTCATAAAATGATACACTATACCGATTTTCAACAAGTATACCTTTTTTATGTAGAATTTTCTACAGAATTTAAAATGATTATTAGGTCATTGGCGTGAAAATTAGGGTAAAAATATCCCGCTTTACTACCCATTCCTACGCCACTGAACTACAAAAATTTATAAATTCTACAGTAAATTGTGCACATGTGCAAATGTTAAGACCATACCAAATTTGAATCCATTTGTTATAAGCATACCAAAGATTTCGTAAATAATAAGATTTTAACAAACGACCAATACGCAGTAGCGGCTCGTCGGGGATGTCAGAAGAATAAAAAAATGTGTATACGTATACAAAATATACCTTGACCTTATTCTTATAAAATTAAATCTAAAATGCGTTACCTCCTTTGAAACTCCCGCTACCAACTTTTAAAATATTTAGTAATCGTGATCTAAGCAGCAACCAACATAACATTCGGGCTAGCCCGTGGCCACTGAACTAAACAACGCCGTCTTTTGCCTGCTTATACGTACCTACGACTAGAGAGTAATCGGAGACGTAAGTCGTTCACTAATTCACAATATTTGGCCCAAGCCGGGCGAGCCCGCATATGCCCATCGAGTATTGTCTATGCGGGCGACGGAAATATACGCATGTATATATTTATTTGCCGTAATTTTATTCTTTAAATGAATTTTTAAACATTAGAACAATTTTTCCCTGCAAAGGTATTCTAGAAAACAAATTTTAATAAACAAAATAATAATCTGTTTTATAATAATTCATAAATCGACTTAAAATATAAATATCTACGATGATATGTTCAATGTTTTTTGATAATGATAATTATATTTATTAAGATTTTTTTAACTCCTTACTGTTAAACTGAATTAATAGTGATTGTGGAGACATGTTCAATATTTTAATAGATTCGAGTTTGTAAATATGGAAGTGAAGTAAATTATTTTTAGGACTTTTAAATCCAATATCTATTTTTTTTCAAATAATAAAGAAACTGTTAGATTAAAAAAAAATAGTTTCTATTTAATACATTTTTTGAATTTCAATCAGATTTTTAATAAATTATCATTTGAGTAAGTATACATAAAATAAATCTACGACATTGAGCAAGCCCTTCAGCTTCACTCGTATATTCCTCGGGTACTTACCTGTACCTAATATGTGGTTTTTTAATGTTTTATTATTCCTTGTGCGTGGTTGAGGTAAGTTTATATTGTTGAATAGTTTGGTGTAAAACAAAATGGCAAGTGAAATTCGCGAATTGGTGAGTAGCAATGGTGATATTGATAATTTTTTTAGATAAAAAATTTAGTAAACTTTCGATAATAAATTATTTATTTCACAATTAAAACCTACGCCTGACATNAAATCGCGAATTGGTGAGTAGCAATGGTGATATTGATAATTTTTTTAGATAAAAAATTTAGTAAACTTTCGATAATAAATTATTTATTTCACAATTAAAACCTACGCCTGACATGAAAAATTTAATAAGTAAAAACAATCGCGGAAGCAACGGATCAATTAGTAAAAATTGGTACAATAAATATGAGTTGTTAAAAGGTAGTGAAATGAAAAACAAATTATGTTGTTGAAACTGCTTCCTGTTTAATGAAAAAAGTAAAACTCCGTGAAATTATCTAGGATATTCAGATCTGAAACATATTAATGAATAATCCTTAAAAAAAAATCACGAGCGATCGGAGAAGCATACATTCATAATTAAAATTTAAATTATTTCAAAAGTAAATAGACTATAGAGTGTAATTATTCCTGTATGATATTAAGTTACATGAGAGAAAAAATATTTTGCCCACCCATCTCAAAGTCACGAGACGCCACTGCCAATACGGCCCTGTACAGTCAAAACGGTGAGATTTAGATCTTTGCTTTATAAGGTAATTCTGAATTATTTATTGAGTTCTATTTGTGGTTAAAGTTTGATTCCCTCGAACTGAAACACCCTGTATATCTGGTAGTATAAAACACAAAGCTAAGGTTTTTCACATTATTTTTGCACTAACATTGGTTATTTGGCATTAACCACACGTAGGGATTACGTGGGGATATGTGGATTTAATTTACATATATTCCTTTCCAATGATAATCCTCACTATTTTAGGGGATATTTTGGTATTTAATTAATTGGCAGATTTCTTGTTTTTCGTTTGTATTAAATTTTATTTCAGATAAATAACTTTACCTAATACATGTCCCATAGTCATATGTCATCAAACATTTTTCATTAATTAATAGCAAATTATTCTTAATGTTATTATTAAATTACCAGCTTATTGACAGAAAGTGTCAATTTATTAATATGATAAATAACAATTTATTTGTTATGACATCCCCCTACTTTATTTTTACAAATTTTCGCAATTACCCCTTTAGTGAACGATGACGCATCAAATTTTTTACTAGAAAACTATCGGTTTTATCGAAAAATTACAAGAGGTAAAAAAGTTGCGCAATAAATGAGTCTTTCCAATAAATATTTTTAAATAAATAATTTGCTTCATATAAAAAATGTTTAATAAAATATTGCAATGGGGTTGGCTGTTTCACTCCTTTATAAAATACGCTAATAATCGAACAAATATTGAAAAGTTCTCTCTTTATTAGTAGGATGTTTATACCAAGTTTTGTGTCTCTACCATTCCTCACGTTAAAGTAAAAAATTTAAATGTGAATTTCAATCCTCTCCTTTAAGAGGGTATATCGCTTCAGGGGTGCAAATTTCATATAAGGTATTTTTACTTCAATCCTCTTATTTTTGGCTCTACATTCACTGGTACTTAATTTAAAAACACCCTGCATATGTACAAATTTATTATCTGGTATGGACTACCCTGTATAAGCTACTGCAATATAGTACACAAAATCAATACCAAGGAGCATACAGCATCCAGAATAGTTTGTTCCAGTTGATAATTTACGAGAGACATTTTCCAGTAAGACGACACTATCTATTAAATTACCGAGACATGATATTGTTAGTGTAATGAATACTAAGTTGTTGGGTTTGACGAACATGCAATAAATGCAGTTAAATTCGTTCTAGATGCCGGAAGAGCTGGAATACATTTTCTTAAAAGGCGTTGCATTTCTAAGTAGATTTAAGAACGCCAGTTCCGGAGAGAACGAAAAAAATTGGAGCTGTGCCAGTTGGAAGTCTAGTCTAGTTAACGAATTCGTTAATATTTAAATGCCTGTTATCAGATAATATTAAGATATGAAACTGTGTTTTAATAGACAATTTTTTTTACACAATATAAATAGTAAATAGTGGGTAGTATCCAGAATAATTAAATAACAGGTCTCATTAACATCACACGTGTATTTTTCAGTCTATCACCTTTATAGATGTGGGAATTAAGAGAAAAATAGTAACTATGACCTGCCACTTAAGTCTGTCAGGAAGTAGTAAAAACTAGTTCTGGCAGAACATTTATTTCCATTAAAAGTTTCTCACCTAACCTAAAAATAAAGAATTCAGTGGGATCACAGCCTCATTTTAATGCATTTCAACGGAAGTGCCACCGAATAAAGGCATTTGAAGCTTATAAAGCACCAATTTCAATTTCCAGCCGTAAAACTTTCAGGATATAAAACTGTCAGCGACACTTATCATAGTTTTGATTTGACAAATTTACATTCCATTAATATTTATTTTATGTACACGATGCCACGTTTGTTCTTCAAAACAACGGAGGGGGTGAATTCCTTATAAAAATAGTGGGGGTAGTTTATACAAGTTCAAAGTAAACAGATGTCTCTCCTCCATAATTGATACTGTTGTTCTGTAATTGTGAGCAAACTTTATTGTCAGTATTTAGTGAAAATGGTGCATTGTTTTTTCGACTCCTTTGTCAACGGCTCACCATATCGAAAATGGGGCCTACTGTTAAAGAAGTAAGTACACGTGTTCTGTCTTGAAGCATTCAAACATGAGTTTTGAGTAAAAATCCTTCACTCTTAACGTCTTATACACAATAAGTTTCTAGAGGACTTTAAGGAGTCTGAGGAGTAATACTAATAGTATTACTATGTCTTTATGTCAAATAAAAGTGACTTCAGGGCAATATAGTTGCCTTAAACAGTGATATTAGAAATAATCAACTTAGACGTAGTCGTGGTATCCCAATTATTCATGGATTTAGACCTGACAACTATAGGCTTTGTGAAAATGTCGTTGAATTATTTGATTCTACAATGAATTTACTAATAAAGAAGTCCGATATCAATGAGAGTTATTATCTTGGTAGTAAAGAATCAAAAAGTGCTATGACAAGGTCTATTGTTGAATTCTGTCAGCGCTTGGCTACGTGATATGGCTTTCTTTAATAAGAAACAGTTAAAAGGTTCCTTCCCGTGTTTTGATTTCGGAAATGTTGACAG